ATTGATTTTAATTAATAGCTGAACGATTTATAAAAATTGACCAAAATGGCTCAGATTGCCCTAAATCTGAGACGTCGTCCCAGAATCTACTCCACAGATAGCTGAGCTAAGGTGCCTTCCAGATTATGAAGGAAGAGGGCACTCGGTGCTCCTACTTGATCTCGCCGTCATCGCGGCAACAAAGGACCAGCTCATTATTTTAATAGAGCTGATCTTGCCCCGTTACGTATTGAAACTGCGGACAAAGTTTCTCAAATATTTTGGCATTCCTAGGCGTACTACCGATGAACCGGGGCAATCTGCGCTACGCTAAAATTTCATGGAAACACCTACTGGTCACCATGAAGGCGTTTTCTGACTTTTTCTATGCCGAAAAGGAAAAATCGAGGTTTCCCTGAAAATGTACTGCGACTGTCAGTTTTACTGATGGATCACCAGCGCTCATTCTGAATCTGGCAAAGAGTCGCACGTGGCCATGAAGATTCACTGCGTTGTGTTGGCTGCCGCGTCGCTGTTGGCGGCGCTACCGACGAGTGCAAGCTCAGAGATCGCAGCTCCCATCCGGGTGGCGACTACCGAAAAGCGGATCTATCTTCGTCGATCTCTGTCGGATACGACGACTGGAGAAGAGGAAAATGGCATCAACAATAATGAGTCGAGCGCCTTAAATGAGGCAGAAGAAGGATTTGAGGAAGAAAAGAACCTGCAAACACAAGCCCCAACTACTGACACTGTACTCGAATCCGAAGAAGGGGTTTTTGATGAACCGGAAGAGAGCATTGAAACTACACCGACTAATACACAAGAAACTTCGGACGAGGTTGAAGAAGAAGAACTCGACGAGGAAAACGAGAACTTGACATCGACGTCGAAGAGCTCGTCTAACGAGTCGTCTATCGATGTGGGTGACGCTGAAGAAGAAGACCAAAGCCCTCAAACCCCCGAAGTAATTACCACAACAACGGTTAATCTAGATGAGGTGAGAGCGTATCGAAGTAGTTGAGAGAACAGTACCGAAGCCCCGACAAATTTATCGACGACGACTGTTGCTGAAGCAAAGACGAAATCTGAAGGCAAGAGCGTGCAAACGTCGTCTAGTTGCTCACGGGCGGAGGCGGTCTCTTCTACCGAGGCACCAGTTGAGGTGTCTGACACTGAGAATGAAGAAGAATCTGAGGAAGATGAGCAAAACACTGAAAACCTCACGACGAATCTAAAAACTGAGACCCCGACGTTCGCTGAAGCCGAGGAACAAGCGTGCGGGACCGAAGACAAGAGCGTGCGAACCCCTTCGACTGACGATCAGACGACGGATTCAACTGAGGCTGAGGCTGAGGATGAAGAGGACAGTGAGTCAGAGGACTCTAGCGACGAAGACTCAAGCGACGAAGACTCAAAGCGACGAGGACTCAAGCGACGAGGACTCAAGCGACGAGGACTCCAGTGACGAAGAATCTAGTGACGATTTCAAGTCTGACAACAACGAAGGCAAGGATGAAGATGAAGACATGGATGAAGCTATGAGCGACGAAGCGTTGGACAACGACACGGAGAGTGACTTAGTTGAGGAAAGTGACTTAGCTGAGGAAGGCGGTCCATAAATTTCTGAAGGATCTACAAAATTGCGTTAAAAATTAATATTGGCAAGGACCAATAAATGGATGTTTATTTCATTCCATATTAACAATTTAACTCTCGGCATTTTCTACGTAGGTGAGGTCTTGTTGCCGCCACTGTTTGTCTTCGTCGGACCAGCTCACTTTGCCAGCGATCTTCTCTCCAATCTCGTGTTTTAATAAATAGTGGAAAAGTGGCTTCCCTACCATCATTTCAATCTTGTTGGCGTTCGAATGGACATTCGTGAGTGCTTGGCGTACACGGAAACTTGTTGCGCTTTCCACTTTAAGTATTTTGAGCATAATAGGCTTCCCTCGGCGGGCGTACTACTTTTGCGGGATTCCTGTTCTCGTCTACCGTTTTTATACCGGGTTAATAGTGTGTGTGTGGGGGGGCAAACATAAATGTAATAGTTTACTTCAAGAAGATCCTTAAAAAAAATCCCACTTTATTTTTATACGAGTAACATGTGAGCTCATGCTAGTTGTCACCACATTCGGTTTCATCTTAACTGTGGATTTATGGCAATCTCGCGTAACGTCTCCAATGTGAAAAAAATGGATCAGCGACGGATACTCTGGCCATTATCGAGATAGTGGACTGTGTAATACCCATAAGTGTAACGGGGTACGTAGCCCTAAGTGTACCCTGGTTACATGAAGTGTGACACTTCACACTTCAGGAGTATGACACGTCATACTCCGGGATATTTGGTACAAGGTACCAAGGTCGTTCAAAGCCAACCATTGGTTAAATGACATTGCATTTCTATAAGTAGCTAATAGTTTGTATTAAACCCAAACTTAACCTACCTATAAATATACTTAGTTTACAATCTACCTTATTTAGGTCACTTCGCTCTCTTTAATTAAAGAGGGGACCTGTGAACTGCCGCTCACTGAGAGTTTGTATACTCTCGGAAGATAACTTCCTCTAGCGCAAGGTGCTGTGTGACCCCGTCACACTTGGTAGCAC